TAAATAGATAGATAGATAGATAGATAGATAGATAGATAGACTGTATGTATATTTAAAATATTTGCTGTAAACATTTTTGTGGTACACTATCATAAGTAAAATAAAGATAAATAAATTAACATTTCTATTCAGAAATGACATTAAATTGATCAAAAGTGACAACAAAGATATGTTACAATGTTACAAAAGATTTCTATTTCGAATAAATGCTGTTTTTGGACTTCTGATTCATCAAAGAATCCTGAAAAAAAAAATGTGCTTAGTTTCCACAAAAATTTGAAGCACCACAACATTTAATAAAAATTTCAGTTTCATTAAAAATGTATATAATGGCTGCTGAAAAGTCATCAGGAAAAAAAATACATTTTATTCAACATACAAGAAAATTTCTTTCATTTCTTTTAAATTGTAATAATATTTCACAATATTACAATCTGACCAATTTTACTGTATTGATCAAATAAATGCAGGCTTGGTTAGCAGACTTCTTCCTAAAATTTATATATATATATATATGTGTGTGTGTGTGTGTGTGTGACCCATGCTGGCAAAATGAGTCACAATGAGCACATTTTCAAAAGTTTTGTTATTTAAAAAGAAAAAAAAAAAATTTATGATTTGTTAGAATCTGACAAAAAAAAAAATAATTACTGAGCTACACCGATAGTCAGCAACGTCAATTTAGAGAAAAATCTAGTTAAAGCTTTCTGAAGGTTCCAAAAGAAAATCACCTAGCAACCATACCTTAAAATCTCTCAAATTTGGCACACCAAGTCAAACCCCATATCTATAGGAAAAATATATGTTCATTTGTTTTTTCCCATGATACCACAAACAATGCACCGCACAGGGTGTTTTGACTAGGGATGTTCATTTCGGTTATTTTTCCTAACCGACGCTCATTAACCGATTATTAACCGTTAACCAACAAGATTATTTTAAATTAGAATTGAATTAAATTAGAAAGGATAAGTGTCTGTGACCCGTTAAAAATACTAACATTTGTTTCCCGGGGATTAATTTTACATGCGCAAAAAGCAGCAAACAACAGAACATGAGGATTCACATGGTCATTATATCACATCACGCACCTGCAGCACTTCTGCGAGCAGAGAAAAACATAATAAAGCTAGGCTATATATATAATAAATAGGCCTATATGAGAAACATATTTTTTTAGTCAAACATATGGGAAAAAAAACACACTCAGTTTAAATATGTAGTAAACTCTGTGCCGTTAAGTGTTATCACCGTACCGCCGTGATGCTATGCAAAACATTTAGTTTTATGTGGATATTGGAACGCGAGTGAAGTACATAATAAATAATAATTTGCCATTCAAATACATCGCGAATACGGAAGCATTTTTGATTTTGTGTCGAATGAGAGACCCAACGTTGGTTTCAGTTTCGTTTTAGCCTAAATTAATTTGTTTTGGCTTGTTGTTTATATAGCTATAGCTTATATTTTTAATTCTTGTTCTTTTCGAA